AGTTTCAGCAGCAGGAGCCGTGGGTGTAGCTCACCTGATTTTGATGGCGGGTCTTCCGCTCGCAGAACTCAACTTTATTACGATGTTCAGGGGCGTGGACTTGACGCCTGTCTTCAGGCGGACAAAGTCGTTGGTCAAGTAGGTGCCGACACCAAATGTAGGCTGGAAGTCGTACTGCTCGGACAATTTCTTGTACTCGAGGCAGCGGTCAATGTTGAGCGAGTCGGAGAAGACGATGACCTTCTTGGTCTTGATGCCCTGCTCGTCATAGTACTTTCGCAGAACCTTGATATACTCAGCGGGGTCTCCTGAGTCCTGGCGAACACCTGTGAACAATTCCGCATATGTCTTGTTGGTGCCGTCAGCATTCTGGAATGTCTCGGCAGGGAGCCCGCCCTCAACGGCTCGGACTGGTAGGCTGAAGGCTTTGAGGAAGTCTTGTGTTCCGAAAGTGTCCGTGAGGGCAATGGCCAGCTTATTTCCAAAGCAGCCAACCCATCGAGCCAGAGCCTCTTCTGTGGCAGCCCTGTAATCACCAACAATGGCTGCAGTTCCCATGAACCACTCGTGGGCCACCGTACCAACAGGTGGGATGTTGAACCGCATAGCAAGATGAACATTACTTGTTCCGGACAACTTCCCTGGCAGGCCTCGCTTCTCTGCCTCTTTGGATGCCTTGACCAGGCCGCGGAAGACGAGAGCCTGCGTGTGGTAATCACGTCGCCGTCGAGTGCCGAATTCTGATGTAATGCAGCCGGCCTCCAACAGCTTGATTCCCTTGTCCAGGGCTTTCTCCTCTTGTCCCTCGTAGCTCCAGTCCGAGTCGATAAACTTGAAGTAGGCTTCGGAGGTCAAGGCGAGGATCGGGATCTCGTACAGGATGGTGTCAACCCAGGTGCCTTGGATTTTGATGTCGGTGTCGCCAATGACGTTGTCGGATCCATCATCGTCGCCGATTGGTGTGAATGTAGCTATGACTTGCTCTCGGGGTCGTAGTCGGAACTCGCGCAGAAACTGTAGGTACTCGGGAGTTAGGTATTCGCAACTGGACTTGAGGAAGTCGTATTCTTCGTCAGACAGGGAGATGTTGCCAAGCTCTGTCCGTCCAAACCGGTCAGCTGTGCACAGCATCTCAGGTTACCATGGCACGAAACTCACTTCGGATCTGCTCATGGAGCCAATTAAAAGCGGCGCGCGAAAGCTTCTTGTCCGGAGTGCGATTCGTATAAGCATATGTCACGGGGATGTCGCGAAAGAACTTGTAGACGGCGCACTGCATAGTCAACTTATACAGATCGGTGTCCAAGAAAGAGATGACCCCCTCAGGGAAGGGAGATGAGCTGTTGAAATCCATGGTTGTTTCCGGGCACTCCAGATCTTGGCCTGGGGGAGAATGCGTGGAACACCGAGCGAGACAGAAGGATGTTAGTCGCGCGGGGCGAGGGAGCCGCCCAGGGTATTTCTAATCGGCCTATCGGCTGTTCGGGGAAGCCAGATGTGTGAGCCACAAGGCGCGGATTTGGTTCATATATATTTCTGAAAGAAGGCAGAATTTCCCGAGCGCAATGCCGATGCTAGTTACAAACAATGAGTCAGTGTAAACGTGCGAGGCTGCGTCAGCGCCGATGATAGTCGAAGGTAAAACCGCATCGAGGAGGGAGGGGCATGCACTGTTGCTCTGCAGGAAGGCACAATACACCAAACCAAGTGGGATGCACGGAGTTAGACAGTCTGATTGGTTGATCCACAATATCCACTAAGATACCCTTGCTCCTCTCAGCCGTGCTTAGCATGAAAGAGTTACGCTCACTCTCACCCAAATACATCACCCCGGTTTGCATCCCCGTGTGAACACCAGAAAGTTTATGTGAGAATGACTTGCTCATTTATTTAGAGACTGTATATATTTTATCCAGAATCCACTCCGCCAACCCAGGCTTCAGTAACCCCGAATCTTGACAGGGTGCGCCTCCGTGTTAAACACCCACTTGTTGGGCTCGTCCTTGTGCACCTGGACCTCCGAATCCTCAGAGAAGATCAGGTAGAAGTACTTCAGAGTCTCCGTGAGGAAGAAGCTCTCCATCTTATCGACGTACCCGCCATTCACGACCGTCACGTCGGTCAGGCCGGCATACCCGCTCCCCGTGCGGGTCGCCGCCGTGATGGCCTGGAACCCCTCCCAGGCGAGGTCCTGGTACTTCTTGTCGCCCGTCACGCGGTACGCGTAGTACAGGCTCTCCGTCGTCTCGGGGCGGAGGATGTAGTACTTGGAGGTGGCCCAGAATCCGGCCTCCGCGTACGCGGCCTCCTGGCCCGCGGGCGGGTTGGTGTTGATGGTGCCGTCGACGGGGAGCTTGCTGTCGGTCCATCTGAAGCCCTCGGGGCCGATCTTGGCGGCGGTCCCGCGGTAAGTCTCGAAGTAGGACTCAGCGAGCGTGACGCCAAAGTCGATGTACTTCTGCTCGTTCAAGAGGATGCCGCCGAGGATGAAGTTTCCTCCTGCGAAGCTCGCCACTATGGCATGTGCGGTCAGTATCAATGAAGACCACCGCGAACGGGGGTCGACTTACAATGAGAAGAGCTGGGAATGGTCTGCGTTCCTTGATACTGAGACAGGAAAGTGATGTCCTCGCGCGATGTTGGGTGCGATGCCAGATATTCAATGGTAGAATCAGCAGCGGCAACCCATCTGTCCTTGTAGAAAGAGAACTCCTCCGGGTCGTAGAGGTACATCTTGATCAAGTACTCGTAGTAGCTGTCCGTCAGCCCGGACCAGCCACCAGAGCTGTCAATGAAGGCGCCATCTGTCAGGTTAAGATAGGTTCCGGTCAATCCAGGGAACGGCTCGCCGCTCTCCGGAGTTGGCTTCAGAATGTACGACTCGGCCTTCTGGGCGAGCTGCGCATACTCGGGGTTCCCGGTCAAATCAGAGAGCCTAGTCCACTCCAAGACGAGTGTTCCAACTTCGGCGATGTTGTTCCTTGAGGAACCTGCACGCCTCGGCTCAGGGTTAAGATAGATGGTGGGGTCTGGAACACCACTGGGGGTGTCGAAAGCGAACTTCACACTGTCCGCAAGGCTAACTGCCTGCTTCAAAAGGTTATCAACGAGTGACTTGTCGTCGACCAGATCGCTCCATGGCGCTTGTGTGAGTAGATCGTGCGCTACTGCCGTCAGCCAAATGCTCCAAACAAATAGCATCTACCAACAAACCTGACAGGAGACCACCAAAGTATCGAATGTTCGTCTCAAACAGAGAGATGGATTCACCAGACTTGGCAGTGGTGGTGAAATCGATGGTGGGAACGAACTCCAAAATTTGGTTCACACTCTCCCTATCACCGAGAATGATTGATGCGCTGAGGGAATCGAACGCTGTCACACCCCAAGCATTCCTATGCGACTATTAGAAGGTTTTCCGTCTCATCTCTTCAAGGCGGCCCTTACCGGTCGTTCTCATATCCGTTCGACACTGGGTGAAGCGTATCGTTGGGGAAGGCATAATCATAATAGCCCTGCCACGCTGTCCTGTAAGCCTCCTTGACGGCTTCAACTCTCTCTTCATTAGAGCTGCCATCTCGCCGGTGGTGAAACTGAGGCCCGGCAAGTGCAGTGGATGCAAGCACCAAAGCCGAGAGACAGAGTTGGCTCGACCTCATGGTGATGAAGTGTGCGGATCAATGAAATGAGTAGTTGGCCTCCTAGAGAGAAAAGATGAGGTCTCAGAGGGACTAACACTTCTGACCCGTGGTAAGCCGAGAAACATCAGCCAAGGTATCAGGGGGGTCTTTATAATCTTCAAGACATATTGAATATCAGATGACGCCCCCCGCTCCAACTCAAGGGAGTACGAATTGGGGAAAAACCAATGGAAGGAAAGATCCCCCATGAATGCCGTATGACGCAAAAGACTGCAAGAGGAACCCATCAGGCAGGTGTCAAGAAAAGGCAAATGTTGTAATCCCGAGAGTGCCTGGATTCGGCCCTCAGGGATCGCGGGAGTGTCACCGTGACCACAGCTATATGCCTCTAAGAGTGTATAGTGTCATCCAGCAAAGTTCTGAAATGATATCAGATATAAGGATTATTTGGCCATTTTTGCTCAACTTTTAGTAACCGCTGAGTATTATACTATGAACATTTTTTGGCCTCCAAATGCTGTAATTTACTCCCCAGAATTCGTTACCCTCCAAAGCTCAACCAACCATCGACACTCGCACCCCCAACCAATCACACCGGAGTTGGTGAAAAGGCCAACCTTGCGGAAGCAAAAGCGGCGCACATCGGGCATGAGAGTATGCGGCGGTATGGAGCAGTGTAGCGGGGGATTTTGGCTGTCAAGGTTCACCCATGTGATAAGATGCCATCGCCCCAAGTAAGCAACCTCCTCATTAGGTCATGGCAATGGGCGGTGATGTGACCCTGCAGCCGCCTGCCGATTATCGAAATGATTGACTTCGTCCCCCTGCAGCCCCGAACGCTGGGCAATCAAGTGCCTGATGCGACTCCCCGCACCGTCTCCCAGCTTCGGCAACATCAAAGACAAAAATCCTTGAAGAAGCAAGTGACATGCTCATCGGACCACCCTGATTGCGAGGTGCCATCCAATGCAACAGCTTCTATGCTGTGCAACCTGTAGTTGGTAGGCACCGGTCAAGCGCACGGTCAAAGTAAAAGCTTGCGAACCTGTTGATCCAGGCCATGAGCCTTGTCCAGAGTGGACAGCCATGACCCTTATCGTGAGCTCCAACTGACGCACTTTCTTAACCCAATCGGCACTCGTTTTGGGGCTCACAAGAACCTCTTCTGGTTGGAACTTAGAGCATATGCGCCGATAAATCGCAGAGCAACCAGGCTATGGTCCGGCCCTGAGGGGTTTGGCGCTGTCTCGGTATTTTCGCGGCGCATCAAGATTCCTTGGCTCTAAATCATTCACGAGACCAGCCGGCTCCAAGGGGGTGTGCATATGTGTGTGTGGGCACGGGCATTATCCTCAGCCACTAATTGCCTTCCCTCAACTTCGCCAGAGCAGCAGCTATGCCTCCGCTCAAATGATCTTTGTCTTGGCTCTGCTCGCGCTGCTGGGGTTGCACCGAAGGGCCTGGTTGAGCTGCACGGCGCGACTCCTCAATAGCTGCAGCTAGCATGGCTTCCTCCTCGTCGTCATCGTCACCCAGGTCGCCCATGAGCTGGAACTGACCTGCCTTGGAGGGGTTCGAAGCTCCCGGGGTGGGGTCTGCCTGCATTGCCCGGGAGATGGGAATTGCATCTTCAAGAAGCGCGTTACGGGCTGCATTCTGGGCAACGTTACCTCCAGTCTGCTTGCGCACGGTTTTCTTGGTAGCCTTTCTCGCCCTAAAGGGCTCCTCGACTGCCTTGGACCATCGCTTGACCTTGGCACCTCCCCAGCCATTGAGCATGCTCAGCTGCTCCTGGTCTGCGTTGATTGCGTTCTTCAAGCTCCCGAAGTTCGCGACGAGAGCAACCGCGTCCGACTTGTTGAGGTTTCTGGGCACTGTCACGAACTCGACGAGTCTGTCGGCATAACTTGTTGCTTGTTGTCCCTTGATAGCTGTGAACCCTGCGTGCTCGTAGGACTTGTAGAGTTCGAGGTAACGGCCAGCCTCGGCGGCAGACCAACACAGGATGATGGTGATGTTGTTCACCAGTGAGGTCTTGGATAGTTCTCGTAACGAATCCTCGTGGTTCGGGATGTCGACCATGACCAGCATAATACGAAGCGTGTATTTGCCTTGGAGCTTTTGGATTCGGGTGTAGACGTATTCGGGATGCAACCGGTGGTAGCGAAGACTATGTAAGCTCACGGTCAGTCTCACATCTTGGCATGATACGTGCAACGCCAGTCCCCCGAGTTTTACGAACCTCAGAAAAAGTGCACATGTAGTCTGTCCCATAACATAGTCTGCCGGAATATCGCTGTACTCCCAACCCATAGCACGGATGAAGGTCAGGATCGGATTCCCTCTCTGGCGCGGCGAGACGAGAATGTGCGACCCGGTTCCCCTCTGAGGGAGCGCCTGGGGTGTCGGCTGCACAATCTTGGATCCCGAAGAGCTCGTCGGCGGAGGTTTATCCAGTCGCTGGGGGGTCGGCTGCTGGATCTTCTGAGGCGTGGGCTGTTGCACGGCTCGCTGGGATGAACCAGCTCTGGATTGCTGCGACGACACCCGGTCCGCCGCAGCAGCCATGGCCTCCAGCAGGGAGTCGTCGGCGCCAAATTCGTCCTCCATAGCTGCTCGTTTATCGGTGTCGCCGTGCCTCGGTCGCCGTTCCAAGGTGCAATGGGTTGGAGGAAGCAGCGCCTGAAACGCGAGATGGGAGATCGTTCACGGACAGACGTCAGATTATTATAGACCGTTATCACTTATCAGCCTCAGCCCCCACAACTCCAGATCAACCCAAGTTCCTTCCCTCGGGAATTAATCAATCAATCCCTTACCCATCGATGAGCTTGGTCTTTCTACTTTATATGAAACCATTCTCTTTTAAAGTGTCTACGGTACATGCACATCAATTGGGTCCATAAGTGTTAAAAGGTGACAAAGGAAGTTCTCATAAGACTATGCTAATTCTTGGCTGCCTATATCCGGGCGCCATATGCTAGAAAGCAGTCCGACAAAAGAAACCAAAAGCTCCAATTGACAAAAGAAAATGCAAATGCAAAAAAAAGGTCGCTTCCCGACAAAGGAAATTGGGTATATATATAATCCGCACAATTTTCCGGTCCAAAGTGTACAAAAAACACTGGTAGTGGTGAAGAAGAAGAAGGGTGAGCGAGAATGTCTTAAAATGAAGAAAAGAAGAAGAAGAAGAAAAGAAGAAAAGGCTGAAAAAAAGAAATCGTGGGTATGTAAAGTTTGAACATGAAAAAAAAGAAGAAGAAAAGAAGAAGAAGAAGTGGGACAAAAGAAAATGAAGAAGAAAAAAAAAGAAGAAAAAGAAAATCGTAGAATGAGTGTCCCTGCTTGGGGAAATATCCCGTCCTGGGGACTTGATGTATGAATGCCAGTCGTCGTCCCAGACGATTATGGCCAATAAAGAAGAGAAGATGAGAAAGATAAAGGAAAAAGAAAAGGAAATAAAATATTATCGCTCATCCCGTTCGTTCCCAGCTTTGCATGTAGCAGAAGATTCAACACCGCTACTAGTTGTGTTGTTCACTTTTTAGATCCAAGCACACTCGTTGTTGTCGTCTCCCATGGCGCAGCGAATGGAGTTGAGAGCTGAGATCCAGCAGTCGAAGACAGCCTTGGCGTTGCTCATCTCCTCATGGCTGACGCCCACGGTGGCCATGTTGTCACGGAGGCGCTCATAGGTCTCAATCATGATGGTGACCTGCATCTTATCGAACTTGTTGTCAGCTCGAGGAGAAGCATCGGCCAGAGAGCAGACCATGTCCTGAGCCAGCATGCCGAGGCCAATTGCCGGAGAGCCGAACGCGCCACTGGGCTTGTAGTCCTGAGGAGGAGTGGCTGGGGGGGTAGGGCCGAAGGAGACGGGCTTGAAGTAGATGGCATCCTCCTTGAAAGGCATGTTGTCCTCCTGAGGGAAGGCCACGAGAGTGACATCAGACTGGGGAGAGAGGCTGCCAATGCTGAATGTCCTGGGAGAGCTGCTCTCGGAAGCAGTGCTGCTGCCGCTGTCGCTTCGGATCTCAGCAGCCTGGGGCTCATGGTTGTCCTCGTACAGATAGTTCCATGGGTGGGCCTGGAGAGGGTGAATGCCCTGCTCGTCAATGTGCTTGAGGTTCTTGGATTCAAGGCTGGTTCCGAATCGCTGGGCACGCGACTTTCGGAGGACAGGCTCAGGCTCATACTGGGGCTCGGAAAAGGTAGAAGGGGAGCCGGAGTAGGCTTGGGGCAGAAGCAGAAGGGGCTCCTCAGACTCGGTAGGGGGAGTCCTAGGGGGGGTGGGGAGCGAGGGAAGGGCCTTGCTCTCACCGCGAACCTCCATCATGTTCTGGTAGCGCTGGGCCAGCTCATCAAGGTTAGACATCTTCCTGGTGAGAGGAAGAGGCTTGGGCTCCTCAGACTGGGGCTTGATAGCATCATAAGGCCTGAGATCGTAAGGTCGTGGCCTGTAGTCTTCAGTCTCCCATGTAGGCCTCAAGTCTTCAGACTTGGACTTCTGGTGAGGAGACTTGGGAGATGCGTTGTTCTTGGAGGAGAAGCTGGGCATCTTGACCAGCATTTGAAGTTTCTTAAGATTAGGTCGGGAGTCCTTGGAGGATTCCGAAGTAAGGCCAAGGCCCTGAACCTCCTGGGTAGGAGGAGAGTGAACCTGCTTCCATCGCGACTCGATCTCGAGGGGCCTGGAACCGTGGCGAGGAGGGCGGACGACGACTCCATCGGGGCCAGTGACGAGAGCATTAGATTCGAGGAAGCTCACCACTCTTGGGTCGTTGACGGGGCTGTATCTGGGGGAAAAGCTGTTTCGTCGCTGTGGTCGAGCAGACCTGGTAGCTCTGCTGGGCTCTGGAGTAGCAGTCTTGTCCTCAGAGGGCCTCTTGGACCACCAAGCCCTTGATCGGGGCGAGGAGGTCTTGTTGTTGGTGCGGGGCGATGTCCTGAGCATCTTGGCTGAATGTGAAAAGGAAATTTTAAAAGAAAAGAAAAGCAAACCAAAAGAAAAGCTATATCAAATAGCTTGATGCAGTTCTATCTAGTACAAAAAGGAAATAAGGAAATGACCAAAGGAAAAAAATGACCAAAGGAAAAGACCAAAGGAAATTGTCGTTACCGTTATTGTTGTTGCTGTATGTCTGGATTATCTCATGATGTTGGGCTGGGGAAGAGGTGCCTTTATGGAAACGAAGCCATCCGTGTGCTCGTTCACGATGACTCTAAAAAAAGGGCCCAGAGACCAAACCGTGCGGCCGCGGACGCTCACCTTGGGTCCAGCTATGCGTCCGGATCACCAAAACAACAGACCCAAGGGCAAGGTTGAGGGTCAGAATGGGTAAAACTGGGGAGCGCACAGGCCGTAAGGCTGCTGCTGAGCTTCGAGCTGCGACCCCCGACTATGCTCGGCTCGACAGCGAGATTGGGTGTGAACCGGCTTGTGGTGTTGAGCGCCGTCAGAAGGAGGACCCGTTATGGAGACGACAGACCCCGGACCCTGGCCCCAGATGCTGACTGAAGCCGACCGTCAGTGGGTGAATGTTCGCTGGACGGCCCTGTAAGTGCTGCTGTAGATAGCCACAGCCCTGTAAGTAAACAAACAAGGTACCTGGCTCGCCCTGCAGGAACACGCTCAATCGGTAAGTACCTAGCTCAACTGCCGCTGCGTGATGGATTCTGTCAGAGCTGAGAATAGGGCGTCGACAAATGCTTCCTGGATGGTGTTGCGAGAGACTGAAGGACGGGGGACAACATTCGCGACAAGTAAAAGCTGTTATACGGCAAACAATACTCTTGAGTGGCATCTGAGACAGCCAGCTTGGTTTTCTTTTCTTCTATTAGTGAGGACTGTTCCCATCCCGTCTCCCTACCTAAGCATCTAAGACGAGTGCGAGCAGCTACACACATACACGGTAATTGCTTCATGCACGCAGCCGGTAGCGAGCCAAACAGGCCTGGAATAGCACTAAGCAATCGATGCCTCCGTCCAGGCCTGCTGTTCAGTCGCCTGTAGGGGATGGAGATGGACAGCGGGCCAAAAACAGAAAAAAAAACAGCAGTAGCAATCTCAAATTTTGCCACATCTTGCGGAGGACAAGGGTGATCTTGGTGATGGCCACAGCTTTCCCAAACTCACACAGGCCAAAAAACGAGACGCATACGGAAAATACCCACTTGCCGCTCCCTAGAATAGTGAGAGCTTCGTGCTTGATCGCCCAAAGCTACGGAAAGCCGCCAGCAGCAGGGTCATCATCCAGGGCCACCAGTGAGCAAACCGCTGGAGGACGGCGGCCAAACTGAGAAGACTTGTTGACTGGTCCCTTTTCGGTGTGTTCAGCGCACGGCCCCCGGACCCACCAAAACGGTTTGTGGGCAATGACGGCACCAAGAGAACAAGTCTTGCCTTTTGCAACAGGACAATTAATTCGTAAATTGACGATCAGGCAGAGCATCGTAGTGAAGGCGCCTCGAGAGCATCTACGACTAGGGGGATATTGGCTCGTCAATTGACCTTTGGCGAATTTCTCGCTCCCAGCTGAACGGATTCGTCCATAAGCCTTCTAGAAAAATGTTGCCTATTGCGTTCTTGGACGCAAGGATGCTATTTTTACGATAGAAGATCCCCAGAATTCGGAGAGCCCCAATTAGTAACCAGCAAGCAAAGGACTTGCCCAATTAGATAAGCCCATGCGCATTCATATCCTCAAAATATCCAATCGATAAGCAAACCGAAAATACATTCATTTTACTTTCAACATCCATGCATCATCAACATAACTAGCCCACATCTGCGATCGGCTCATGCCTTGCGGGCCAGGCTCTGCTGATGGGTCCTATACGCGACACCACGGAGGTTGCGCGGGTTGTGCCTGGGAATAGTTTCGCAGCTGGTAGTGAAGCCGCCAAGCATCGGTGTCCCAAGGCAGTTCGGCAGCCATATTACTTAAGGTATTGCCACTCGCCACTCACCCGCAATATCTAATTACCATTGGTACTAAGCTCCGTATGAACCAGGCAAGTGAGAATGGGACACCGAAATGCTGCGATTTAGCTCGGTGATGATTATTGAACCTGAATTGATCTCCATAGAGAGTAAATGAAAATCTTTTTTTTTCTGCAGCCATGCCATGTTCTTCATTTGTGGTAATATTTGAAAAACATGATGTCTTACATCTCATGTCGCTGCTCCCCGGACAAGTATTTGATTTGGGTGGGTCATAATATTAGGTAACCTCCAGGGCTGGCTCTGCTCTGCTCGACTGAGCACAGGCCAGAACTACCTACCTACCTTGAAGGCTTGCAGCTAGCGGTACCTGATTTATTACCTAATATTGCGTATGAGGGGCATCAGCACCGTCGATGAGGGGAGAGTGGGGGAGGGCTCAACGAGCGCAGCCAAACAGTTGATCAAACAGAAGAGCTGCGGTTTCTGAAATGATCCCGTAGGCTTTTTCACCTCTTGGCTACGAGTGCAGTTTGAAGCTATCGTGAGTGCCACAGTACGGACATTTTAATCACAAAGCCATTCCAGCCAGCAATCCTAAGAAGATATTGAATTGCCGTCGGGATATTTCAGACCTTCTGCCCCCAGAATTTATCCGTCAAGGTCC